TGACGGCCATGGGTCCCAACCATCCAACCCAATGCAGTCACTTGCACGCCATATCCAGCCATCTTACATACCTAGCCTTCCCCGCCTTTCGAACTCCGTGTGCCACGCCCGTTTCTTCCTCGTGCACGGCCCACAACATTGGCTCGCCTTTTGCGCCCTTGTTTTGTGTCGTGTTTTGGCCCGGCGCTTCTTAACCTTCAACTCGGCCTGTGGACCACATCCTTGTGGCCAATCTCGTATGCATGATGGCCGAGATATTGGACTTGATGGCTCTTCCAACATGTTCTCCAACCATAAAACAAGACCATCGTCCACCTCCTTGTCGGACTCGCCGGGGTTGATGACCACTTCCGTATCAAGGCGGCGTGACGCGCATGAGGCGGCCGAATTACTTGGGGCGTGTGAATTGGGATTTGTCTGGAGTGCAAGCCAAGCAAAATCAAGATCTAGTCAATTTAGGACTTTAGATATTTAGTTTCCTTCTTGCACAATAATATCTAGAATGTTTAGGAATTTAATATTTTATTGCTTTAATATATTTCCTAGGTAGATTAGAATTAGTAGTAATTAGGATCTATAAATAGGGATGTTCCCTCATTGTTTTGAGAATTCCAAGAATGATGAAATAGAATAAAACGTTTGTTCGAAACCGTGTGTTGAGAGTCGTGAGATTCGATCATACAAATCGAATTGGTGAGGCTAAGACCCGAGCCAGTTCAACGATTTAGAGAGGCTAAGACCCGATCTATTTCGAGAGTGTAGCGAGGCTAATACCCGAGTGAACTCAAGTATCGTGAGAGAGTTAGGCTAATAACCGAGTCGATCACACCTATCGTCGAGAGCAAGGCCGTGGCGAAGCCGTGATCGAGACAAGACGAGTGAACGCAACACCCGATCCTTCATCATTGGTGCTTTCATTGAGAGTGATTGATTGGGTGTTCGTGAACTTTTCCTATCCCATTCTTTTTCTTTTTTGGTTCGATTTTTTGGTTTCTTTTGTTCGAAATTTTTTCGAAATTTCGTGAGTATCAAAAAAAAAAAGTGTCATCTAGTCCTTTTGTTTTATTTTTTTCGGTTATTACCTTTTGTTGAAGGGGCCGAATTTCTCTTCTTTTTGGGTCGAAATTTTTGAAATTCTTTTTCGAATTTTTCATTTATTTTCTCGATTTTTCAGAGTCTTAAAAAAAAAAATTATCATGTCTTATGTGCCAATGGACGAGATGGATTGCGAAGATCTCGAATTGTTGGAGAGTTTGGAGAGAGAACTTACCCCATGGGAGAGCACATATCTAGACAAGCTCCATGAACGAAGAAATCGAGAAGCATACGAGCGACAACTCATGAAAGGGCAAGGAGCAATGGTGGGTGAAGTTCTAAACCGTGAAGATGATGGTGCGCTAAATTTCTTAATCCTTGAGGACAAGGAAATTCTTGAAGAGGAGGGGAATGATAGGGAAGTGGTCATCAACCCCGGTGAGTCCGACGAAGAGGAGGACGATGGTCTCGATATTTGGTTGGAGAACATGTTGGAGGAGCCATCTAATCCAATTTACCGGCCATCATGCGTACGAGATTAGCCAAAAGAGTGTGGTCCGCAATCCAAGCTTAAGCCTAAGAAGCGCAAGACCAAAAGAGCTCGAAGGAAACGTAAGGCCAAGGCTAAAGAATCATGTTGTTGGTGTAAGCCTTGTACAAGGAAGAGACGAGCCCGAAGGAAGGAGGCTAGAAGGTGGGGTTTGCAAAGGGTTGAAGGTGGATGGTGGATACCAGCAGAAGATTGTGAGAGGTTGAAAGGTTGGGATCCATGGCCTGAACCAACGACGACGATCGCCGACGAGAAGGGCGACGGCGATCGGCTAATGGGCGAATGGCGCGCATCGACCCATGATGCGCGCGGTTGGACGGAGCAAGATAGTGTACGGGGGTGCACGACTGATGGTAGAGCCGCAGGGTCGAGCGACATGCGGATGGTGTAGTAGGTTGATTGGGACGTGTTGGCGTTCGGGGGTGTAACGCTGGGGCGCGGTTGGCGCGCGGGCGAGCAGTCCGCAGACGCGGGAGGTGCGTGCGACGCAGCGGGCACACGGGGATGCGCAGGAGGCGATTGGAGCCCGCGGGCGATGGATGCGACGTGCGAAGGAGCAGGCGCGGTGGGGTGCGCTGTAGACGAATGGGGCTTGGGCGTTGGCGAAGACGCGCGCAGGAAGGCCAGCTGGGAAGGAGCGCGCACGAAGGCGCGCGAGTACAGCGCAGACGCGGGCGCAGTCCTCGACCGAGAAGGCGTAGGAATACTGGGCGATAGCACGCACGCGCGAGAGGGAGACCGCGACCAGCGGGCGTGCGCGGATGGTGACGCGTGGGAAACGCGCGCGCGCGAAGCCGCGCGCGACAAGGAGTAAGCGACGCAAGTCAGCGTGCGCATGAGAGGCGGCGTGACGCGCATGAGGCGGCCGAATTACTTGGGGCGTGTGAATTGGGATTTGTTTGGAGTGCAAGCCAAGCAAAATCAAGATCTAGTCAATTTAGGACTTTAGATATTTAGTTTCCTTCTTGCACAATAATATCTAGAATGTTTAGGAATTTAATATTTTATTGCTTTAATATATTTCCCAGGTAGATTAGAATTAGTAGTAATTAGGATCTATAAATAGGGATGTTCCCTCATTGTTTTGAGAAGTCCAAGAATGATGAAATAGAAAAGAACGTTTGTTCGAAACCGTGTGTTGAGAGTCGTGAGATTTGATCATACAAATCGAATTGGTGAGGCTAAGACCCGAGCCAGTTCAACGATTTAGAGAGGCTAAGACCCGATCTATTTCGAGAGTGTAGCGAGGCTAATACCCGAGTGAACTCAAGTATCGTGAAGGAGTTAGGCTAATAACCGAGTCGATCACACCTATCGTCGAGAGCAAGGCCGTGGCGAAGCCGTGATCGAGACAAGACGAGTGAACGCAACACCCGATCCTTCATCACTGCTCCACTGCGCGCGCGCACGCTACTGCCCTGTACCCGCGCACGCTGATTTACTGCGCGCGCCTGCCTGCGCCCGCCCCTGCACGCGTGCAGGGTACCTGCGCGCGCCCGAACTACCCGCGGGCTGCCTGCGCGTGCGTCCGTCTGCGCGTGGCCCCATGCACCACTGGGTGCCAGCGCGCGTGCTGCGCGCCCATGTGCGTGCATAGTGCCCGTTAGGCACCCGACGCCTTCCATTCCTTTGGGCCACCTGGTATTTTAGCCTCCCCCACCAGGTTTCACTTCTTCGATAAGCACCCCGAAACCATCGACAGCACGTTCTTTTGAGTCGTGGCCTCATCTGTGCTCGTCTACGCCAATGCGCGTGTTCACGCCCTTCTTGAATGCACTCTTTCTTGCGTGTCAGCGTTGCTAGCCTCGAGACCATCTTCTTGCGTGCCCTCGTGCACCTCCATGCGTGACCCTCATTAGCCACTTCGTGCGCTCGTGTATCACGTCCATGCACTCCTCGTGTAACGCCCAGAAAATGAAGCTTTTTTCCATCTCCAACATGTCTTGAACCATTTCCGGCCAGACCATCTGTTTTCCGGCGAACCACCGGCCGACGACCTCAGTCCAAGCTCAGCCCGACCCCAGCTCCTCGTACACGGGCCTGTTTAGCAAACTCCAGCTCCAATCCGCGACCAAGACCGACCTGCAGCTCTGTCCAGCCGAGCTCGCAGCTCCTCCGCGCTTCCCAGCTCACTCACGCCAGCGACCAGCTCGTCATCCTCAGCAACCGCCGCCCAGTCGCGCTCAGCCTATTTCCAAGCTCGGTTCCAGCTCCTCCTCGCGCGTAGATCTGCAACCACCATAGTCCAAGCTCGAAGCTCGCGTCACAGGCCCGAAATCGCGACCCTATCAGCTCCTTCCACACCCGACGACCTAAGCAGCTCTGTCCTCATGCCATCCTCGCCAGGAACCTGTAAAAATCGAGCTCACAACCGCTGCAGCCCGCAGCTCCCGCACCAGCTTCATTTTTCCGGCAATTTTCGCACCACCTTGCTCCTCCAAGCTCGAATCAGTGACGAGCCGCGCCCAGCACCTCGAGTCTGACCCGACCAGCAGTAAACCCGACCCGAGTAGCTCCAGCTGACCCGTGACTGCGGCTCAAGCTCCAAGATCCAAACTCATTTGGCTCTTTCCCTTAATTTCTTAGCCGATCTATTTTTCGACCCGCCGTTTTCACACGATTTAAGGTATAATAACTAGAACTCACTTTTTATGGCTTAGATAAAATATGTGAGATGATATAAAATTGTGAATTGGATGATTTGAGCGAAAATTGAATTATCGGGATTTTTACGAGCTTGGACCGATCGATTTTTCGATCTATTTATACATAAGTGATAAAATGATTATTTAAATTTGATAAATCATAATTAATTGTCTTGAGTCTTAGGTAAAAATTTGAGAATTTTCGGGGTTCGTATGATAGGCGAACCGATTTTATGTATATTTGACCGGTTGTAGCGATTACTAGTTAAATGGTTTAGGAGTTGAACTTGGGCTTGATTTGTTGACCGTAAACCAAACATATATTGAGGATGTTATTTTTCGATTTTCGTAAAGTCTGGATGTTGTTTGACTTAGTTATAAAAATCGGGACTTTAGATATTAATGCCGTAAAAATAAAATATTAGTTTAATTGAGATTTTAGCTGCAGTTGTGGATTATAGACTTATTATAAATCACATAGAATATGTATAATAATTATAGGCCTGAAATGAGTTAAAATTCTTCGAGAATCGAACCCTAGTTTTATTCGGTTCCAATAACCGGGTATTTTTCTGGATCCGATTATAATTGTCTGAACCCTAGTACCGTCTAGATAATCTTTAACCGTCGTATCGTAATTCGTAATGCGTATCGTCATCTCGTGCCCGTGATCGCCTCTCGTCCGACTGTTGGAGCCGAACCGCCGAGTGCGTGCCCGTGCACCGAGTCCGAGTCAACCCTCGAGTGCGTGCCCGTGCACCAAGTCCATCCGACGTACCGTCTACGCACCGTTCCATTAGCCGTGGTCCAAGCACACCCCTGCGTCAGTGACCGTGGCATCGTTTCAAGATCGTGCACCGGCTAAGCCGTGTCAGTCGAGTTCGTGCCGACCCAAGTTGCCACGCCGAACTCGGACCACGGTCAAACCGTGCTGTACATAGTCAAGTGAATGACCGACCTACTCCAAGTGAGTTGTCGGTCAAGTTCAATTGAACTGACCGGTCAGTCTGGACGGTTCGAGATATATTTCAATTTCATTCAGATTAAGATTTCAGATATATTTTAGATTTCAGATATAGTTAAGATTTTAGATATAGTTAAGATTCAAGATAGATTAAAGATCCAGATATATTTTAGATTTCAGTCAGATCTTAGTTCCAGACTTAAAAATATTTCAGATAACTCTAGAATGCCTCAAAGACAATAATATTTTCAAAATCAGCTCGTAAATCCCTAAAATGATTTTCTAAAGCCGAGTGAGCGAACCTAGATATATAAGATAATAAAGATTTAAGTTTTATTCTGAGCACAGTACTTAGAATACTTCGCTCAATATATTTTGTAGCTTGAGGAGAGTCGAGCCTCCGTCAGCTACCCATTACAGATATATTCAGCATTCGCTTTCGCCAGTTTCTAGGTGGGGACCACGTACTGTGTATTTCATTGCTCTTAATAATTTACCATGTGTAAGATCTATATGCGATTAAATTGAAGGACTGAAATGGATGAGTGATACCGTCTTGGTCAATATTTCAGTATTTCAGTTATGACTTGGATGTGTGTGATTAGGGCCCGTCCTAAGTCTAGCGTCCAGATGGGGTGATTAGTGCCTTTCCTGGATTTCTGTGGGAGGGGACACCTAGAGTGTGCACATGAGTACCGGTTTACCGTTAGTCCCATAGTCAGACCAGTTTATTCATATATATGTTGATTTCATAGTTTGTTATTAATTGTGTTGAGTATTCAGTGCCGATTCCGGCGGAGCACCGTTGATTCCTTTGTGCTCACGCCTCCCCACTACCCTCTTTTTCAGGTGACGGAGCGCGTGCAGCGTGAGCAGATATGTGGTGTTGGTCCAGCTTCAGGACATTTTGTGAAAACATGTCATATAGTATTTGAACATGTTGAATTATCTATGTCTGTTTTATGCTTGTGTGTCTTTTGAACTTGTACTTGCTTCCGCATGTTAGACTTGTGTTTCAGATGTCAGATTTCAGACTACTATTTCAGATTTCAGATTATGTCAGACTTTCAAAACATGCATGCTTAATCCGGTATTATTCGTGGCCTTAATTCTAGAATGGATTTCACTTGGTCGCATGCATTTAGATTAAAGAGATAAAGATTAAAAATATAAGATTACAGTTGAGTAGCACCCCATGTTTTAAGTTATAGTATTTTCGAAAAATTAATACAAGTTTTTGAAAATTTAATAAGTGCTTTCCATTTATAGCGCGAAAAATTTATTCTGATTTTAGTAAGTCTAGGCGGGGTGTTACAGTTGGTATCAGAGCCACTTAGTGGTTCTGTATACTAAAATTTTAGTGAGATATGACCACACCACGCTCACGCCACGCTGACTCCGAGGTACGTCACCTGTACAGCTTTTATTTGCGAATGCATATTTAATTATAGTCAGATTATTACAGGGGCGATAGATCTATGCTTCGATTAAGATTTGAGAATTCCAGTCAGAACTCTAGTAAGGACTTAGAGGATTTTAGTGTACTCGGAACTCTAGCCAAGCTAGGTGTTTTCGGATTCCGATAACTTATTAAAGTATAGTGTAGTTATTTATTAATCGGCTATACTGCTTCAGTTAGAATCTCAGCAGAGATAGTTAACTTTGAGAATTTCTGTTAACTTTCTTGAGTAATTAATTCTCCGTCAAATATTCAATAC